CGGGCCGTGTGGGGCATGCAAGTTCCTAAGAAGGAAGTGCGTGGCGGGTTGCATATTCGCCCCGTATTTCGACTCGGATCAAGGGGCTGCCCATTTTGCGGCGGTCCACAAGGTGTTTGGGGCCAGCAACGTGTCGAAGTTGCTCCACCACATACCGCAGGCCCGCCGGATGGATGCGGTGGTCACGATATGCTACGAGGCCCAGGCCCGTCTCCGCGACCCGGTCCATGGATGCGTGGCCCACATATTTGCCCTCCAGCAACAGGTAATTTTACTCGTAATAATAATTAATAAACGTTGTTCAATATGTTACACCATGTATATATATATGTAGATAGTTCGTCTAGGATTTTATCTATTTTTTCGATTTTTTTTATATTAAGATTTTGTTATGTGGTGAGTAAGTTGATTTTGGTCAATTTGTTTTGCATTAATTTTCTTATAGTGATTAAGTATAGGAGAATGCTACCATCCCGTTACGGGATGGTTACGTTGTATTTTTTAAGTGTTGGATTAACTACCCATCACTAAATTTCATATATATCTATGGCTAGAAAACACAACGGAACCATCCCGTAACGGGATGGTAGCATACTCCGGAGAATGATTAATTTAAGTAATTATTATTTTACTAGTAATTAAGTAGTGGATTCAGATTTTGTCCCTATGCAGCTATATATATGCAACTTTATTCATGGTTTTCATCCTTGTAAAAATCTGTCTTATAGGAGTTGGTGAACTACAAGACAACCCTTTTTTTTCCTTCTTAATTCTTCCGTTACAAACTCTTTCTTTTTTTTTTTTAATTAATTTTGTTTTTCATATGCTTTATTCTCTTGCCAAATTGAATTTCTGGAGACTAGGTAGGGTGAGTAATGGTGCAGTTCGGAGCAAAACTGAACCAAAACACATAATTCAGAAAGCCCAAATTGTGAAATTTTCAAATCGAACCTCAATACATGACCAAACAAAATATTCGAAAGCGAAACCAATCTACGCTAAAAATGACCGAACCGAATTGCACGATTTCGGTTAGTTTTTTCTTTGCTTTTCTATTCATTTATGAACGATTCGGCGCAAAACTGCACCGAACCCAAGAAAATAAAAAACGAAAACCGAACATTTGGAAAAGAATAAATTGCAATTGGATTATGGTTAATATACAATAATATTATTACATTTAATTTGGTAGAATTTTAAAACAGCTAGGAGAAATAATTTTGTGGAGAGTTGAGAAAATGTGTGTAGACCATGAATTTGTTGCATTTTGGGAACAAATGTACATTTTGCTGAAATCAAGAAACCTGACATTCTGACTACTTATTTAACTTATGATGATATGAGTCACTGTCTACTGGCAACAAGGAAGGTACTAATAATACTATTAAGCACTAGTAAATAATATATATGTGTCCTTTTGTGTTTGGGTGTTTATTTGCCCCATTTTTTTTTTTTTTCTTGCAATAAAAGTTTAATTAAAATGTTGCTGTTCTTCAGGTTTTGGTCTGGCATTCTATTTTGGTATATAGTTGTTGAATTAAAACATTGCAAGTAATTAATTAATTGTAAAGTAAATTTCATGTTAGACTGACTTAATTGTTTAAATAATTGTAATTTTTGAATACATATACATATTTTTATATCAAATGTTTCAAAGTATGATATTTCACATTTTCAATAGAACTGCCTAAACCTCAATTGTTAGTCATAGCAGATTTGTGGTATGAAAAAGTTATTTGGTACATATTAATATGATCATTAAGAAATTGGACAATAATATGAACTCCACTAGTTTAAAACCTAGCTCCAGCGCTAGACTTATCAAGCCGAGCTAAAACGAGCTTGTATTCGACTCATTTATCAATATTAACGAACCGAATTGCAGAAAATTACATAAAAAAATTTCTATTTTCGAACTTCAACAAGCTGAACATGGCTCGACCCTTTGACTAAACGTGTTTAACCTTCACTACAAAAACACCCTTACATTCCAACGGAAATTTTCTACGTATAAAAATTCGTGGGAAAAACGGCCGTTGGAATAGCTAAAATCCAACGGAAAATCCTATGGAAATAAATTCCTGCAGCTATTCCAACGAAAAAAAGTCGTTGGAATTCCTCAACAATCCAACACTTATTCCAACATAAAATTAAGTTTGTTGGAATATTCATTGGAATTTTCGACGAAAATTTTTGCCGTTGGAATTGAAGTGTTTTCTTGTAGTGCTTGCTTGTTTATCATACTACTCGAGCTGAGCTTGAAACTAACTTAACAAATCGATCTGAGATCACAAACGTTTTTCGTTTAACAACC